TTTTTAAATACATAAAAACACCGAATTGGTTTTAACCACCACAGAATTACACAGAATGTATGAAAATCGGTATCACAGAATTTTGTTTAACCACACATAATTTGGTTTTTATCACCCTGAATCTGCATAATAATAAGTCAATTACATAATCGTTTTTCACATGACGTGTCCTATATATATACCCTAAAACCGCGTTAAAATATTTTTTCAAACATCTCATGAACTTTAATTAGATATTTTATTCCGTTTCGATTTTTATTGCCATGTCTATTTCTATAGTTGAAAACAATTCACTTTTGGTTAAAAAATGGAATACGGAGGAGGATAAAACCTTAAACTTTATGAAAAACATCTCGAAACGGTCACTTCTTTCTTGAAAGGTATGACTTGAAAGTAAGCAGCATTAATCGCAAAAGAGCTCAAAGATTCAACAATAAGTTAGTTTTTATATGGTAAGAGTGATATATTATTTGCGCGATTTTGCGAAAAAAAATCCAATTCATTATCACGATATTATTTTTTAGAGAAAGACCCCTATGAAAGATATTTTTCTTCTATATAATAGTTCTCAAATGTGGTATCGTTGATCACATTCTGGATGAAGTTAATAATAAACTAAATAAGGAAGAAAAGAAGAAAAGAGCAAGTAAATAAATTGTCGATTTTTATTTGTTAATTAGATTCCGATATGTTTTTAATATCTAGAATCATGCAAACAACGCTGTTGGTAGAATGCTTAGGACTGTACTTTAATCCTTAGCAAAGGTGACTGCAAAATCTTTGGTAGTTGCCGGGCTTTCCGAAGTTGGACGTGATAATTATGAAATTTTCCCACTCTGGGAAAACTTTTAAATGTTCGTGAAGGTACCGTACCCACTCTCAGATCATGAATAATTCAGGAAATTCAACAAATAAAACAAATCCTTGGACTGAAGCAAGGAAATCAACAAATGAATACGGATATGAGCATCTGATGATCATGACGGATCAAGATCACAATGGAAACCTTATAAAAGGATTGATAATAAGTTTCTTGGACCATTTCTTCCGCATGAGTTTTGGACATTCTAGAATTTTGCGACATATGCTATTTGTAATAATATATATGAATCTAATGATCAGTTCATTAAAGTTTTTATTATTGTTTACATAATGCTAGAGTACTAATAAAATAAAGAAAGGTAAGCTGTTTACACGAAGATGTGATCAAAATGGTGGTTTTTTTCCAACCTTCTTGCACAATCATTAACTACGACTTGATGAGGGTGGGTCTGATCCTCGCAAGTAGCTGCTAGCTTCTTGCAGTTCTTTATATTAACTACGACTTGATGGGAATGGGATTCTGTATCTTTGTCAAGTAGCTGAATTGGAACTTCTTTGATAAAGGCCTACTGATCTTGGAGAAGATATCAGTCCTTTATACATAACAAAGAAGCTAAACTACCATTCTGATTCACTCTCATCTGATTCTAATTTCTAGGGAGACTTTTCCTCACCTATTTTTTTTCTTTCTATAAAGTCCGATATTGAAAAAGAACGAAATATTTTAGGAGATATAACAAATCATGAATCGATTGAGTTGGAAGAAAAAAAGCGGACAGACAAAGAAACATCCATCCAGTTCATCAAAAAAGCTGCGAAAAGGTTAATAGTATGGCTAATGTACAGTTGGAATATGAAAATCAAGAAGCTAATATAAAGAATTAGTAAACCAATAATGCAGCTGAAGAACATGATTTGCAATTCTTTGGAAAATCACTTGTATATAAACGCAACTTTTCTCGTGAAAAGGCTGTTCGCACAGGATATTACAAATAAAAATTCGCGTTTTTTGTTGGCAACATGTTATTCCTCACTTTGTTCCCATATTCCTATCCACATAAAATTTTTTGAAATAGTCTAAACAATATTGTTTTTGTTAAAATATTTTTTCTTCACCTTTTTTTGAAAAATTAGTTTCTGTTTTTCTGTTTTTCTTTTTTGTTTACTAAAAAGTAGGCATCAAGGGGTATCCTAACTAATGATCATGATCAACATACTTTAGATAAACAAATCTCATATAATAACTCCCTTTCCTTCCTAAATAATATGGGGCCTTTGCAATAGAAAGGGGGAAAACTTCCGGAAAAATAAAAAATGAGTTAATGCTAAATTTGAACATATTTCAGCCTAAAAATCATATTTGGCATATA